CTCACAGCAACCTCCAACTCCTGGGCTCAAGCGATTCTCCTGCCTCCACCTCCCAAGTAGCTGGGACTACAGGCACCCGCCACAATGCCCGGCTATTTTTTGGTTGCAGCCATCATTGTTATTTGGTGGGCCCGGGCTGGATTCGAACTGGCCAGCTCAGGGGTATGTGGCTGGCGCCTTAGCCACTTGAGCCACAGGTGCCTAGCCAGATAAGAGGTTCTTAAAATAATTTGTTGAATAAATAATGAAGGAGAAGGAAAGACATGGGGTTCTTTCTCCTACCTTTTTGCCTTTGTGTTTTCATCCTCCCTCTAAGCCCTAGGAAAATGGCATATGTGCATGCTGAGAATTGGAATCTGGATCCAGCTACAGCTTGCAGGCCTGGGGGTCAGTGCAGACAGGCTCAAGGAGGCAGGCAGTCTCAGTCCCATGTTACATTCTAATAATTGCAAAATGCTTCCTCAGGAGAAAGCAGACACCCATGAGATGAAGCACAATTCACTTTATTTCTGTCTATGCTATATCTGGGGGAAGAACGTTGTGAGAAGCTGGGGCTGGGGGCTGGGGGAGAGGGTTTGAGGAACCCTGCTGTGCCAGTGGTACTGAGAAGCCTTCACTTTAGCTCTGCCAACCTCTACCTTCCTACTTCTCCCTGGCAAACTACCAAAACTAGGAGCATGAGAAAAAAGCCCTTAAAGGTAGCAGCTGAACTCCAGAAGAGAAAACCCTAATTGGCTTACTTTTTGGATTCTATCTACTGTTCTTTCCCTTGCTCATTCTGCTCTAGGCTACTGGACTTGCTGTCCCTCAAATATTTCCTGGGTGTACCTGTGTCTGGGCTTTTGCATTAGATATCATCCCCTCCATGGAAAGCTCTTTCCATACATACATGTAGCTTGCACCGTCTCCTTCAGGCCTTCGGTGGTCTTCACCTTCCTGGAGTGGACTTCCATAACTACCTTGTTTAAAATGGCAATTCCTTTATCCACTGCCCTTGGGATTCCCTCCTTTTCCTGCTTTATTTTTGTCTGTAGCAGGTACCTTTTGACATAGCTGTATATTTTGCTTTTTGCTCTTGCTTAGACTGGCCTTAGTGCTTTTTGCCCCCACTAGAATATATATTTCCTGAGAGTAGGAATGTGAGACTCTTTTATTCACTGTTAAATGCCTTAGGTCCCAGGGTGATCAGCTAATGGTAGTCACTCAATAAATCTTTATTGAATAAATGAATGAACTCTCTCAGCTTGGTGCCTGTAGCTTAAGCGGTTAAGGCGCCAGCCACATACACTGGAGCTGGCGGGTTCAAATCCAGCCCTGCCAAACAGCAATGACAATTACAACCAAACAATAGCTGGGCATTGTGGTGGGTGCCAGAAATCCCAGCTACTTGGGAGGCTGAGGCAAGAGAATCACTTGAGCCCAAGAGTTTAAGGTTGCTGTGAGCTGTGACGCCATGGCACCCCACCCAGGGCAATAACTTGAGACTCTGTCTCCAAAAAAAAAAAAAGAATGAACTCTTTATCTTTCACTTCCAGAGAGGGTAAAGCAAAAAATGCAATTGTAAGTAGACTTTCCAGTAGTACTGGGAATTGGCAAATCTGGGTACTAATCTACCTAGTTTTTCTATTTTTAGTAGAGACAGGGTCTTGCTCTTTTTGTTTTTTTGAGACAAGAGTCTCAAGCTGTCACCCTGGTAGAGTGCCATGGCATCACAGCTCATAGAAACCTCAAAAACTCTTGGGCTTAAGCAATTCTCCTGCCTCAGCCTCCCAACTATCTGGGACTACAGGTGCCTGCCATAACACTTGGCTATTTTTTTGTTGTTGTTGCAGTTGTCATTGTTGTCTTTAGCTGGCCTGGGCTGTTGTTCGAACCGGCCAGTCTTGGTATATGTGGCTAGCACCCTACCCACTGAACTTTGCCACCCCTCAGGCTGGTCTTGAACATGTGAGCTCAGGCAATCTACCTGCCTCGGCCCCCCAGAGTACTAGAATTATAGGTATGAGCCATCTTGCCCGGCCAAAAAGGATTTTTTATCCAGCAAGTAAAAGAGTTAGCCAGCAAAGAAGCTTAAAATCCTCTTCCAGAGGAATCTTGTTTTGTTTAAATGGGTGATATCAGCTCGGTGCCTGTAGCTTAAGCACTTAAGGATAAGCCTGCCAAACAACGATAACTATAACCAAAAGATGGCCGGGTGTTGTAGCGGGCACCTATAGTCCTAGCTACTTGGGAGGTTGAGGCAAGAGAATTGCTTAAGCCCAGGAGTTGGAGGGTGCTGTTAGCTGTGATGCCATGGCACTTTACCCAGGGCGACAGCTTGAGGCTCTGTCTCCAAAATAAATAAATAAATAAATAAATAAATAAATAAAATAAATGGGTGATGCCACAAAGATGTCTTCTGGAAGGGGCGTGATATTTATAGTATAATTTTTGGGGAGTGCAAGTGGAAGCAGGAAAAAGAAAAGACAAGAGTTATAGTTTATGGTGGCAAAGGATGGAGGCTTTGTCACTAGAGGGAGGCCAACTGGTAGAAGCAACAAACATAGCAAGGGGCAGCTGGGTGATACCTCATGTTTTGAGGTTTTGTCTTTCCCTGAATTCTAGAGCAGCTCTCCTACCTATGTCCAAAGGAGTGCCCTCACATTGTCTTTCAAGCCATCTCGGGTCCTTTAGCTGCAGCCACTGCCTCTATCCTCACCAATCCCATGGATGTCATCCGAACCCGCGTGCAGGTAAGACTGGCCTCCTTCTCTTCTCCATCCTCCTAGCTAAACCATTAAAAGTATGATGTCCAGGACCTCCAGCATTCCTGTGATCTCTTTGTCATGGCCTTGTAGTGTAGTCAGCCTTCTCTTATCCAAGCCCTTTCCTTGAGTTTACCTCTGCAGAAATCATCTGAACCCTTGGAAGCACCTGGAATTGCTTATTTCACTTTGTCTGTCTTTTAGCTTGTGTGCCTCTCCTACTCCATTACCTGCCCATGCCTCCAGGAAATCTTACTGGTTTCTTCCAGCCTTTACAGGAATCCTTCATGAATGAATGTCCTACATGGGCTGCATGGGGTACTCTCTAAAAGTGTAGTTTAGGGTCAGGTGCCTAAACTACACTTTCAGAGACTACTGTAATCCTAACACTCTGGGAGGACAAGGCAGGCAGATTGCCTGAACTCAGGAGTTTGAGGCCAGTCTAAGCAAGAGCAAAACCCTCTCTAAAAATAGCTGGGCATTGTGTCAGGCACATGTAGTCCTAGGTACTCGGGAGGCTGAGACAAGAGGATCTCTTGAGCCCAGAGTTTGAGGTTGCTGTGAACTATAATGCCACAGCACTCTATCTAGAGTGGCACAGTGAGACTCTGTCTCCAAAAAAAAAAAGAAGTGTAGTTTATGGGTGGGACTGTTGAGGAAAGTAGAGGGAAAAATTCCTGCCTTGGCCAGGCTTCTAGTGTGATAGGGAAAATGCCTGTATCATTCCTAAACAGCATGAGTGATGACAGCGATGGAGAGGACAGTTCTAGTCCTGGGGCATCAGAAGGAATAGGATGATCAGAATCAAAATCATGGGCT